CTATTGAATAGTTTAACAGAACAGTGTAAAACTAGCATTTGCTTTCTCTATTTCTTAGAATTACTGCTTCTTGAAGCTTGAAATAGCTGTATCACCACAACATAAACATACCATAAGGGGAGTATCATTCATAGGTCCACTTTCAGCAACAATTGTGTTTTGGACTAGATGATCCCGGCCAGCAGTATAAATGACCTGAAGAACATAGACACATGAATAAAAGGAAAAAAAGTTCATTATATAAAGGACAAATAAACAATCAAATTGCTGAAGTATAACTTGTTAATACATAGGACAGATAATTGGATTTCAGAAAAGATTATATGGAAGCATATGACTTAACTATAGGCGAATATGCATGGACTATTTTTTTTCAGAAGTCAAGGATGGGAAATAAACAACAACAACAACAACAACAAAGCCTGTCAGTCACAAACAAGTTGAGGTAGGCTAGAGTTGAAACCCACCAAGAGCCCCTAGTCACGGTTTAGGCACTTCAATAGTTGCTTTCCAAGCACTCCTATTCAAACATAGATCTCTAAGTATATCCCAAGCTTTCAAATCTTTTTTTATTGCCACCCCCCATGTCAATTTCGGTCTACCTCTACCTCTCCTCACATTATTAGCTTGGCTTAGGACTCCACAATGCACTGGTGCCTCTAGAGGTCTCCTTTGGACATGGTCAAACCACCTCAACCGATGTTGGACAAGCTTTTCTTCAATTGGTGCTACCCCTAGGCGGTCACGTATATTATCGTTCCAAACTCGGTCCATTCTCGTGTGACCACAAATCCATCGCAGCATACGCATTTCTGCAACACTCAATTGTTGAACAAGTCGAATCTTTGTAGGCCAACAAAAAGGTCCGAAGTTGAAGGGCCTTCTCATATTGTAGACTCTATTAGAGTAGCTGGGATAGTGGCCCCTTTTCAAAGCTGTCAACAAATTACAACTTCAAACTCGGATCCAACTTTAAAGCGGTGTCGGCATCAAAAAAGAAATACAGTGATTTATTGTTCCTAACTTCCAACCAAAATAAAAGGCATTTTTGCACTGTTACTGACTTCGATTTGGAGAAACTGACTAATTGTTCATGAGACTAAGGTTAAACAGATACTATTATTTGAAGGTTCATGGGATTTAAAAGAAATTTGAGGAAAAAAATGCACTGTTACTTTCACACATGTAAATTTAAAGAATGGTTACAGAAAGCCAGTTGGATATATGGCAGCATTACTGCATCCTTACCGTGTCTCCTTTATTCAGAAAGAGCTTTGCTATCTCGATTCCAGCCTTCAAAAGAAAGTAAAAATAAAGTAAAGTAAACATCATGCCATAAGCCCGTAGCAATACACAAAATAAGTCTCGTTATTTTCTTTCATGATGCAAAGCTTGTGAACAATGAATATAAAAAACTCAGACCAACCTTGGAGTGACTAGTTGGCATTGTAAAAAGACGAAATAGACACCCAAATTCAAGTCGAAGAGACTTGAACCTGGGTGGAGCTGTACACTTACACTCATGACTCATATGGTCATATACCTCCCATAGGCTCAGTTCCTTACCATCAAAGGAAAAAAAAACATGATACCTCTAGTCCTCCACACACATCATTGCAAGTCTAGCAGACCAAAGACAGGCATAGCATGATATATGATTGGGAAGAAAAGGGATGGCATACTTGCACTAGTCCACCAAGATTGTCCCTCAAATCCAGAACAAAATAGGAGGCACCTGAATTCTGTAGACGTTTTAGCGCTGCAACAGACAACATAAGTCAAATTGACATAGCACGCTATACCAAATTGTTATCATAAAAAAATATTTCTACAGTCAAGATTACTAATATTTCAATATAAAACAACACATGAATTTCAAAGATGCATAAAAGATAAATCAATATTTGAAATTTCTCGGATCTTGTTGTTGCTGTAATAAACTGATACATATATATATCTAAGCATAGACCTCTCAGTTTAGACATTAAAAAACTTGACCATAAGGAGAGACTTCCCCTTGGCTTTGTTAAGAGGTAAGACCATGCCCTTTAGGGAGGTACTCACTCTACCTGTGGACACCCGGGAGTATAGACATAAAAATTAGACTATATATAGCATATCAGGCACAAATCGACTAAACTACTGCATCCTGAATATGGAAAAGAAAGAAAAAAGGCAGAAGATAAGGTCAACAAACCAGCAACACACCACTAACCAAATCTTTTTTGGCCACTGCATTGAACTCTGTAATGTGAATATACCCAACAGATGAATCATCATTTTCTCTTTTCTCCAAACGATAGAAAACTGGAGTTCGAGCAACCAGTTGTCTCTGCACCTTCATTGACTCAACAGGACCACAGTCACCGTGCTTAACCTAGAGATAACATAAGAAAGACCACAATAGTCAGATAATGGGTTAAGAGAGATCCTGATTCCTTACGTAATCCAGAAAACATAATTTATTTAGATTGTCCATTACCTTAATCGTAACAAACGTCTCCTTTGGACCTTGCAGCATGGATGAAGCATCAAATGCAAATTTACCCCTTACATCAACGCCGTTGACTGATAAAAGCTCATCACCCTGATAATTGATCAAATAACTTAAACAATTACTTAAACTGTGCACCTTATCCAAACATAAGAAGTGTATCATTAATTAACCCACACATGTATAGAATCAAAGATCAGAAAAACAGACACATCCAAAGATCTGTACCTACTACATTATTGGCCAGTCCAAGCAACCAGACTCAAATATACCAAACAAGAGTGCCCTGTGATAATAATATCATCAATAACAAACTACTAAAAAAACTGCATGTCCAAACTAAAAGTCAAGAGCAGTAGAAACAAAATTGCCCCAAAGCTTCTAAGTTGCAAAACTTGTAAGCAGTGAACAAAAACAACGTGAGCTGAAATTATTCGCTGTATCTCATTCAACTCCTTGGAACCTACTTCGATATAGACAAGGTTCGTCCTTTCTAGCTTCAGTACTAATCTTTTTTTTAACATAATTTAGAGGCAGGCATGTGCACATATTCTTTAATTAGTTGGACACCTTAAGTGGGAGTGTAGTCGAATGCTGCACATATCCAACTATATTAATTCTAAATGAAATATACAATTTATTTTAGTATATATGAAGTTTGAGTCCTCACTATGTCAACATATTACATCAAGGTTCATTAGAACAATTACAGAACAAACAAATGTTACTAGTAGTATATCGATAGTGGTGAAAGCAATTTTCTCATCAGAAAGTACAGAACAAACCTGTCTAACACCGGCAGAGTAAGCAGGCCCGTCTAACAGCAGCCCTAATACCATCAACTTAAAAGAACCATTGTCATCAGGAATCTCCATGCAGGTTTAATCCAATTCCGTCATGTCATATTTTGACATCTTTGAGAACTTCAGCAGATTGATTACACATATGCAAAATAGTATCAAAACTGCAACAGTTAGAACATGTATCCACAACAAATGTCCGAGAACAGTAAAATGAAAGGTATTGACACCATTTTGTCTGTGAAAGCAAAGAAACTAAGGATATGGCATAGCAGGATAACTACATTGTTTAAAGAGGGGTTAAAGTAAGTACTAAGTAACCCAGAGGGTTTACCAATCATTCCCACATGCAACCGTTTGCCCAATTCAAAAGAAAATCAATTATTTCTATGCTATACCTGATGGCCAACTTTCCTTTTCAAAAGACTGTCAACATCAATTTTAGAACTCATAATTGACCATGTCAGCAAGCATGTACAACAAGAAGATCACGAGAAAGAAAGAAATGCATTAATGCAAATAAGATCAATACATTGAACAGGAAAAATGCTGAGCTCGTATAACTAGCAGCGTGACAAGAATCTTAAAAAAAAACTAGCAGCGTGACAGTGGTGACACTTGTGAAAAACTTACTTCTGAGGGAGATAGAAACCGAGTATAAGGGTCACCAAGGCTCGCTAGCATCTTCTGAATGATATCATGGGCTCTAGCACGGGATTTAATTGTGCCTTGGAGAACATCCTGCTTCCTTTGCTGCAGTGGATCAAAAATCAACTATCAATCTACGGGGAACACAATGTGCTCAGCAATCAGCAAGTAAAATGAGCATTGTAGCTTCAATGTCCGTAGAGATTTGATGCTACGCAGTTGAACACACAATACACCACGCTCGCCGGTCGCAATGCGGGAAGTCAAACTCACCATCCACATCTCTGGCGACCACGGGCGGCTTGCGGCGTCGGGGAGGAAGCTCTCGTTGACCACCTCCCACGCCTCCTCCACGAGCTGCTCGTTAGTCACCGCCTCGGCCCTCACCTCCTCTACCATCGCCGCGCCCCCGTTCCGGCACACCTCCGTGGGCTGCGCCGCTGACGCCGCGAAAACCGCGCCCACGGCGTTGCCAGAGATGAGAGAGAGGGAGACGGCGGCCGCGGCCGCAGCGGCAGCCGCAGCCGCGCGGAGAGCGTCGGGGAACGGCAACCCGCACGGCTGCGGCCTGGGCCCGCGACCGGGGCCGGGGCCGGGGCCAGGGTTTGCTCGCAACTGCGGCGCCGGTGCCAGCGGCAGGTAGGAGAGTGGCCGCATGGCGGCGCGGCTCGTCACGTGGCCGGAGAGCGTAAAGCCTGCCCTCCGGATTTTGAGTGGATGATTTTGATGATAGGTAGGGGCTGACTGCTGAGCAGTGGTGAGGAAGAGGAATTTTGGTCTGCTTTTTCTTTTTTCATGAATTATTTACGCTTTATTCTTCTCCTCTCACTTTCAACAAGAGCAGCGAGTTACCATATTGGAGCAATTTCAAGAGACTTTCTATATATTTTTTAATTCCTAGAAATAGAGATTTTAATAAACTCTAATAGATTCTTTATCTTTATTTGATTATTATTTAAATATAGTCATCTTCGATTCTAGATTTCTCATTAGAAAAAACACAATAATGATTGTCAAAATGCACATAAGATATAGGGAAACTGTTGAAGAACGGGAAGATATAGAAAACAATTTCATGCAAATAACTCTCCAAAGCAATTTATTTTGAAAGACTCTTTGAGATGCTCTAACATCTCCATAAAGAGCAATTTACCGAATTTCCTATCCCTTCTTTCCAATATTCGACTATAGGAGATCTTTCAAAAGCGATTTCAATACATAAGAGTGTTGTGTTGCAACATATTACTCAGAATTAACCATTATATATATTCTTACACATGGAGCCCGCGTGTTATGGTCAAATCCACTTCTCTTTTTTTCTCGAGCATATGAGGAAAAATAGTCGTCAACTATTTGTAGCCTGGTCGGTGGCACGAGGTGCAGCGACAATGGTGACGGGGTGTGGCTGTTACACAAGGCACTAAAAAGGCGCCTTTGGTGGACATCGGTTGCTCTGAGGCACGAGATGTTGTGGCTAGTGGGTCGCACCTTCTGCAGGGGGGCCATCTTGCAAGTGGTGACCGAGTTAGCATTTTCAAAACTTCACTTGCATCTTACCGCACCACTCGATCTAAAACATATTCATTGTTAGATCACACAGCAACACTAGATACCTCTGTATTTGTAACGAGTTTTTTCTTCTTAACAGTACCATTATCCATCATAAACCTGGTCATATCAATCTTTCTAATAACCCATGTTAGTTCACTATTATCTTCACTCAATTACCGACACCCAAAATGATTCTTACGCCATTTTATATTTGTGGAGTGTGGTGAACTTATCCAGTTGAAACTCTTACAAAACCCATTTCAAAATACAATTCCTAACTTTGTTTTGGTCTGTTAAAACCTTTTGGCCAGTTTTGTAGAACTTATATCCAATTTTCACGGGTGTAGACTTCCTGAAGACACGATTCTTTCATTTGGATTACAAATTAGGTGATATGTTTTAATCGTCTCGACAAGAGGAACAATTATAAAATCCAATTTACAGACTTAACAAAGTTAGAAAACCAAACGATCAGGCAGCTGGCATCATCCCATTTTAGGCTCAGTGCCCAGTGCCCAGTGCCCACCACCTAAAATCCTTTCCTTTGGAGTGAAAGTGTGTGCCCGAACGAAACAAAACGGAAAAGAATCCCACTGATTTCCCGCGTCACACTAGCACGCAAACAGGAACCCGACAGGACCAATACATCTCGTACGCGGTACGCCCATCCTTCCCTGACAAGGTGTCCCCCAAGGTCATCCTGCTTGTGAAGATAAGAAGTAGATAATAACCCGTCGCCACGTTGGTCAGACGTTGTATGACACGTAGGGTCAGGGAATAATTGGCCCACATGCTAAGCCTCGGGGCGGAACTTTTCCGTCCTTGTTTGCGTTGCAAGAGTACACCACTCCTGCTGCATGTTACACCTACGTGACGTATACGTACCCACTGAAGCACGGTGACCACGTATGAGCCCGAGGAGAGTGGGCCCATGATGTCAGCGTGGGGGCGTCGACGTGTGACCTCAGGGGATCAACGCGCCAGCGACAAGTGTGCCGGATAGAGAGGAGGGAGAGTGGGGTTGCGCGGACAAATGAGAAATTATTTTTTAATCCATTTCTTCTCGGCCGCTGCTCATAGAGGTATATAAAGGTAGTCGAGGGCGAGGCAGGGAGGGTTTTGGAATTTGGCCACCGTTTGCGTTGCGCTTGCGTGGGTGGGAAAGGAGCAGGCGGCTAGGCGCAGAGCCGCAAAAGCAGACGCGGAAACAGCCCAGGCCCGAGCGCGCCGAAGCGGGGAGGCGACGCCGCTGCACTACCGCTCTCGCCCGGTCAGCGATTTGCCGCCTCGCGGTCGCGGGAGCCAGTTTTGGCGTCGGCGTCGGCGGCGTTGGCGGGGAGTTCCCGGAAAGGGGTTCCGGTGAGGATGAGCGGCGGCGGCGGCGGAGGGGGAGCCAGGGGACCGTCGGGGCCCGTGCCGGTGTCCGCGAGGAAGCTCGTGCAGGGGCTCAAGGAGATCGTGAACCGTCCCGACGCGGAGATCTACGCGGCGCTGCGGGAGTGCGACATGGACCCCGACGAGGCGGTCAGCCGCCTCCTCTCCCAAGGTCACATCTCGTGTCACTCCCCTTTTCCTCACCGTTTCGGTGTGCAGGCTCGGCCGTTACTGCAGGGTGTTCGCGTGCCTGACTGTATTGGATGAGTGCGCGCTGGGGAGTTTGTCTATAGCGTCGGGTTATCAGGAACCGTGCTTCCTCTTGCCCTTCTACTTGCGGATTTTGCGGCGATTTGCTACTGCTCTGCTAGGATTCAGGGGCGACTGTGCTGCACGCTAGTGGCAGCCTGTCAGGACTGACTAGAATCTCCGTTTCGGATTCGATTGATTTTTGCGAATATTTGGTTCAGGCCTTTGGTTTGGAAGTTTTTGGAATGGATTGTTTGCAGTGTGAAATTCAGTACTGTTTTCAGTGCTTATTACTTGTGATTCTCAGTTCATTTGCGACTCACAGTAATTGTAGAAAATAGAACTTGGTCCTTTACCATTTTGGTGGGTTACTGTTACTAGAATCTCCGTTTCGGATTCGATTGGTTTTGTGAATATTTGATTCAGGTCTTTGGTTTGAGAGTTTTTGGAATTGTTTGCAGTGTGAAATTCAGTACTGTTTTCAGTGCTTGCTTGTGATTCTCAGTTCATTTGCGACTCACAATAATTGTAGAAAATAAAACTTGGTCCTTTACCATTTTGGTGGGTTACTGTTAAGCTTCTGGGACTGTAAGGAGGAGGCATATGGCTGTCTTCATTCATGAACTCGAATGAACTGGAACAGTATGTTCCCTTGTGCGTTCACAGTGTTTGATGGCTTAAAACTGTTTAGAGCTGCAGTAATGGATCTGTCAGATGTTTGCATAAGGAAATAGGATAGTTCAATTTTTCTCGCGTGTTTAGGCATTATAAAATGGATTGGATTGGCTGAAGGATGATAAAACACGTGAACGTCTGGGAGATGCAAAAAAATAGCTCAACTGGTTAGAAGGCAAGGGAAGGTGAAGCCATTGAGTGAATACAACAGAGGCTCTAAGAGCTCTGGTTGTTTGGGTCTTGAGTTTTGTCAAACAACAAAGCCTTACTGGTCCCAACAAAGGTGGGTTGGCTAAAATAAGAAGATAAAACCACAATGACATGTCTAAACTTAGCTTGTAGTCAGATACAAAGGATATTAGTCCACTATCTTACTTTTGAACTTTACAGTCTGATTTCTTTCTTCTCAGGCAGAGGATGAACTTGCACATGTCTTGTAGACTCTGTTTACTTTTGGAATGAGTGTCAACATGACAACCTCTGTCTTCTCAGGTTAACCGTGTGCTTCAACATGCCAATAATATGATATAGATTCCATTAAGATGATCAGGTCGTCTTTATGCACGAGCTTAACTTTGTCAGACAGACCCCAATTTATGATTTTTAAATTATTATTATGCATGGACCTGGATTTGCTTTATAGGTCTGGTTTCTTGTTTTTGTGTTTGGTACTGAAAGAATGAATTGGTGATTATGGTCTCAGATTCCATGTTGAGTTACATTCTTTCGTGGTTCATGAAGTTAATGATCTATATTAGCATCTGCTGTCACTTTTGTTGTCAGAACCGCCTTGAGTTTGTAATTCGCAATTTTACGAGAACTAATGAAAATTGTGAGAGATGGTTAGCTGGAATATTATCTTAATGATTGTTTTAGTAACTGCATGAACCTTTGTTATATTGGTCACTGACTGCTGAATACCTTATTTTCATGAAAGACTAAGGGTTTCATGAACCTTGGGGATGCCTTGCAGTAGCTACTTTGTTTTGTCCCAAATCGCTCTATTTTAGTTCCTGTTGTCCCATTTAACCTGGTGCAAGTCTAATAAGTAGTGACACTAGTGGCATCACTGTGCATCAATGTTTTCTGATCGGCTTATTGTTCCTAATCGGTCTGGTACTGATTAGGACGATCAGGACGATTAATCGACCTCTGATCGGTCTAATCGTCCATATAATCGTCTAGCATATAGCAGGACTATATAAGTATATATCATATATGCATGGTATATATATAATATACCATATACTATATATTTTTATAGTAGACATCGAGCATATTTCTAGTTAGTTGGTTACTTACCTATGAGATCTGACTCCATATTCTTGTCCCAGCCTCCATATGTTTGCTGATTTTCTGCAGGAATAATAGATAACTTGAGTAAGTAGATGCAAAAGAATAGTGTGATGATCGACAAAGATTACAAAGACACATACTCAATCCAGATCTAGAAAAGTAGGAATTAAGAAAACTAGCATAGTCCACACCTTACTTAATATAGTATGCAGTCTTGAGTACATACTACAAACTAAATAATTAAACACCGCAAACAACATTCGAGTTTTAAGATAACACTAGCTGCCATTCAATCAAAGATTCAAAGAGCCATCTAAATCTAAATAAGCAAATCATCATCCAAATTGAAGCCGCCTCCTCCATCTCCACCCGAGTCTCCATCCACCTCCATTCCTACTTGACATTAGATGCATCTGGTGAACTTGGGCTTCATGGTCATCATCTTCATCATCAATGCTATCTAGAGCAACAATTTGCAGTACATTGCAAGCAGCATCCTTGGACGCTTCGGTATACATCTGGTGACAGAGGTCACAGCAACGAGCAAAGACAATTTCCCTAGGCAAGTTAACGCCCAGTAGATTCTCGGATGCACCAATAGCTTCATCAACAAAGAGCCCAAGTCGATTCCTCACAATTCTCATCCACCCATTCATTATCCCACCGAAATTCATCCAGTATGTGAGAGGGTTGCTCTTTTGTCCTTTGCAACCAAGCTCTCTGATTTTTTGAAACCTGTTTGACATCTTTTGTTGTAAATCGACATAGACCAATTTATTTAACCTCTTGTGCTCTAATCTGTTCCTCTTTTTGGTGTGGAACTGCATAAAAAATAATGAACAACACATTGGTTTGCAAGCAATATCGCAAATACATAATTGATTTTACTTCGAACTAGCAGTGGTACTTACATGGGAAAAACACTCCAATTACGCTCACAACCTGATGCAGAGCAGCAAAGACTAATAATTTTCTTTGCTAGACTTTGGAGCTCAAATGAGTAGCCACCATAGGAATTCCACCAGCGAACTGAAACACAATTACCTAATAATCAGGTCATAACAAAACAAATATTGAGAAGGATTGAAGGTTTTAAAATATCCAAAACTTACTAGGGTTCTTTTTGTCTCTGTCCCTTATTGCTAATGGCATTGAGAAGCCTTCACCTTCAGACTGTTCATAATCATCAGCTTGACAAGAAATCTTGGATTGTTCACTGTCATCCGCCACCATTTTGTATAAAATTTCATTGAACATGATCCTTAGCCTTGCAGCTTTTCTCTTGTCTTTCTCCCTTAAGGCAAAGAATTTGCCTGGATTCAAGAATAGGGCTGCCCCATACAACTTCTGCTGCATTTGGTTTTCCCACCTATTATCATAGCGCTTCATTACTTCTTTAAGCAAGTCGGTTTTAGCTTTTAAAGAATCTTTGATGGTGGTCTTTGCATGATCCATGGCTGCCATGATCTCAGGAGCTGCTGGTGTCTCATCCCCATCTGCAATCCTTAGAGCGACGAGAAGGGGCTGTGAAGCTCTCAAGCAACACTCCACTCTATTCCAAAAAGGCATGGAAAGGACAATATCCTCAACTTGTTTGCCTTCACTAGTGCAGACTGTTAGCCTGCCATTCTTCACTAACAACTAAAGCTCTCAAGCCATTCTTGTGCTTGTACATACTTGCCAATGTTAGGTAAGAAGTAGCAAATCGAGTCACAGCTGGTCTCACAAGATCTCCACCTATCTTCTGTCTCGTTAGATCAAGTATCCTCCCATGCTTGTATAGAAATCTGCACACTTTCTTGCCCCAATTGATGGCAGTGTTGAATTCCTTTATCTCACCAATGTCTTGCAGCAACAAATTCAGACAATGGGCAGCACAAGGTGTCCAAAACAAATGTGGGATCCTCTCCATTAGAATCCTTCCCGCTGCCTTAAAGTTGGCCCCATTGTCTGTGACAACTTGCACCACATATTCCTTCCCAATCTTGTCAACTTGCTGCTCCAACAAATCAGCTAGCATTTGTGCATTTGCTATCTCACTTGAAGCATCCACTGAACCTAGGAAGAAGGTCCCTGCTGGACTGTTGGCAAGAAAATTGATTATATGGCGGTGGCTTGTATCCGTCCAACCATCGGACATGAGAGTGCAGCCATATTCTTTCCAACTCTCCTCATGCTTCTTTCTTAGTTCTGCTGTCCTGTTGACAGCCCTTTCAAGCAATGGTTCCCTAATGTCATGCATGGTTGGTGAGCGGTACCCAGGTCCATACTGCCCAATGGACTCAAGCATTATCTCCCAACTTCTCGAATTAATGACATTGAATGGTATACCATTTTCATAGAAGAAATCAGCGACATGATCATCAACAATTTGTTTAGCCTCTTTATCTTTCTTTGTGCACTGCTCTATAGTGGGCTGAGAAGTCTTGGATTTATGCCTTTCTGCAACTACTTCTGGTGTCCTGCGAAGCATGGCACTAACTGACTTGGTGTTGGTGTTCTTTTGAGTTGCTGCTTTAGTATGACCCGCAATCACAAAGGAAGTAATGGTAGCTTGAGCTATTTTCTTCTTTGCTTCGATTGTGCTCGCTTGAGTCTTGTCCTGAACTTGGTACTTTCATTGGTTCAACTTCAAGAATTTCATCCTCTTCATTTGCTTCTTGTTCTTGTTCACCATCTCCGTGAAGTGCCACAATTGTAGTCCTTGTATTCTTCTTCAAGTAAACAGTCATCTCTCATTGGACTATTGGAGGTGGTTTTGGGCACTTCACTACATCCCCATAACCCCAAAGAAGGTGCATCTTGAACCGACCGATTCTACGCAGCACTACCTTCTTACGAAAAATGCACTTTGAATAAATTCCTTCTTCGTAGGATCTCGCCACCACCCATACTTCCATTACGGGTCTTGAGATCGAGCCTTCCTCTTGGGATCTTTAGCTCACGAGCAAGTTCGAGGCGATCTTTGCTATAGCCTTTTCTACAAGGGTTGAAAAATCTGGAGCAGCCGAGGATGCTGAACCAGCACCACCGATGCAATCGATGAGCTTGCACCAGCACCTCCTTCAGGATTAGGCCCAGGCATGATGACTTCCACGCAAGCTGCTGCCTTCGATTTTCATCTATGCAAGTTCAGCAAAGAGCTAAAGAAACAAAGCATCAAGATTTGAGCATAGTGCGAGAGAAAAGGAGATGATGAAATGACAAAACAAAGCCGATTTAATGACTCACCTTCAGAGGAGGAGCTCATCTTCGTGCTCCCTGGACCTGCAGCCTGCAGGTGGGGAAGAGAATAGGCGACCCTGCAGCAGAAGGGAGGAGGAAGCAGCAAGCAGCAGGGAAGATCCACGGATGGGCTGCTTGGATTGGAACTGGAAGGGAGGGAGGAGGGAGTGAGATGCGCGCAGGCAGCAGGGAAGAGATGGAGCTCAGCTGCTGAGCTGCACACACACGGGAGTGAGGACTGAGGACTGAGGAGAGAAAGAGTGGGGGTGAGGCATATAAGAGAAACCCTAATGGGCCTGGCCCAAATAAATATAGCCCACTAAACTGAAGTAGCCCATCTGGCTATTTAGAGCTGATTGGCAAAGAGGCCTAATCGGACGATTAATCTCGATTAATCGACGATTAATCGGACGATCAGGTTTCTGATCGCTATGATCGAATCGAAGGGCCTAATCAAGTGCTAAGTACCGATAAGGACGATTAATCGTGATTAATCGGACGATCAGAAAACATTGCTGTGCATGGTTCGGTTAGGCCCTTGGTTGCCTTGATTCTGACTAAGAACTGTTTGAACTGGGTAAAGTTATCTGTTAAGGGTAGAATTTGCTGTAATTTAGTTGCAACAGAATGCAATTCGGATTTTGCCTGTTGTGGAAATGTTGTATATCTCGTGCGACTGGTTAATATACCTATTATGCATTTTTAAACACTGACCCCTCTTATCCTTACTGTTTCCAACTTTATGAGGGAAGTCGGAGAATGGATTCCAACAAATGTTTGAATTACATGGGCATATTTCTAAAATTATCCATCACAGTTCTAGGAAGACTTAGATGACCTGATTAAGCTGTACCTAGTAGTGAGAAATTTTTTATAGGAAGAGATTTTAATGGGCATGTAGGTACTACAAGTGCAGGTTTCGAGGCAGTTCATGGAGGTTTTGGGTATGGTAGTAGGAATCAGGAGGGGGAGGAAGTTCTGGACTTTGCGGTAGCTTTTGACCTGATGATAGCCAACACTTTCTTTAGAAAGAGAGAATCTCATCTAGTGACCTTCAGTAGCGGACAACACTCTAGCCAGATTGACTTTGTTCTCGCAAGAAGAAAGGACAAACGAGCATGCTTGGGTTGCAAGGTGATACCAGGGGAGTGTGTTGTTTCTCAACATAAGCTTTTAGTGGCAGACTTTCGTTTTTAGGTGCGTGCCCGTAGGGATAAACAAGCTAAGATTGAAAGAACAAAGTGGTGGAAACTGAAAGGGGAAACGTCAGGGGTATTCAGGGAAATGGTTATCAAAGAGGGCTCTTGGAAAGAAGAAGAGGACATAAACAACATGTGGCAGAAGATGGCAACCAACATTCGGAAGGTAGCCTCAGAGGTGTGTGGAGTAACCAAAGGAAGTGGAGGCGAGGCTAAAGATACTTGTTGGTGGAACGACAAAGTCCAAAGGACTATTAAGGAGAAGAAAGAATGCTATAGATGCTTGTACCATGACAGGAGTGTGGACAACATAGAGAAGTACAAGGTGGCAAAGAAGACTGCAAAGCGAGCTGTAAGTGTGGCAAAGGATAGAGCGTACGAGGATCTTTACCAACATTTGGGTACGAAGGAAGGAGAGAAGGACATTTATAGGATGGCTAGGGTTCGTGAGAGAAAGACAAGGGACTTCAACCAAGTTAAGTGCATTAAGGATGAAAGGGAGCATCTCTTGGTGAAGGAGGATGAGATCCGACATCGATGGCGAGAGTATTTTGACAAATTGTTCAATGGTGAGAATACGGACACAACCTTTCAGTTGGATTACTCTTTTGATGACACCAATAGGCGCTTTGTGCGGAGAATCCAAGAATCTGAGGTCAGAGAGGCGTTGAAAAGGATGAAAGGAGGGAAGACGATGGGACCAGATGGTATCTCAATCGAGGTGTGGAGATGCCTCGGGGACATAGCTATAGTATGGCTAACCAAGCTGTTCAACCATATTTTTCTTTCGAACAAGATGCCTGACGAGTGGAGGAGAAGTATATTGGTACCGATCTACAAGAATAAATGGGATATTCAAAGTTGTACTAATTACCAGGGAATTAAGTTGATGAGCCATACTATGAAGCTATGAGAGAGAGTTATCGAGCATCGCTTGAGAGCAATAACGCGGGTCTCTATGAACCAGTTTGGTTTCATGCCCGGAAGGTCAACCATAGAAGCCATTTTCTTAATAAGACAAGTTATGGAGCGGTATAGGGAGAAGAAGAAAGACCTACACATAGTTTTTATTGACTTGGAGAAGGCTTATGATAAAATACCAAGGAATGTTATGTGGTGGGCTTTGGACAAACATAAAGTCCCAACGAAGTACGTCGGGCTCATTAAGGACATGTACAACAATGTTGTGACTAGTGTTCTAACAAGTGATGGAGACACGGTTGACTTCCCGATTAGGATAGGACTACATCAAGGGTCAGCTTTGAGCCCTTATCTGTTTGCCTTAGTGATGGATGAGGTCAAAATGGACATACAAGGGGACATCCCTTGGTGTATGCTTTTCGCGGACGATGTAGTGTTAGTTGATGAAAGTCGGACAGGAGTGAATCAGAAACTGGAGTTATGGCGGGAGACTTTGGAGTCCAAAGGTTTTAGACTCAATAGAACTAAAACTGAGTATATGAGATGTGACTTCGGCACTACTACTCGGGAGGAGGAAGATATTAGTTTGGAAGGTCAAGTAGTGCCTAAGAAAGATACCTTTCGATATTTAGGATCAATGCTACAGAGAGACGGGGATATTGATGAAGATGTTAGCCATAGAATCAAAGCAGGGTGGATGAAGTGGCACCAAGCATCTGGTGTCCTATGTGACAAAAGGGTACCACAGAAGCTAAAAGGCAAGTTTTATAGGACAACGATTAGACCTGCTATGTTGTATGGTGCAGAATGTTGGCCTACGAAAAGACGACATGTTCAATAGATAAGTGTCGCGGAAATGCGTATGTTGCGTTGGATTTGCGGTCATACAAGAAGGGATCGAGTTCGGAACGATGATATACGTGATAGATTAGGGGTAGCACGAATTGAAGAAAAGTTTGTCCAACACCGGTTGATATGGTTTGGTCATGTCCAACGGAGACCTCCAGAGGCACCGGTGCGTAGTGGAATCCTAAGCCAGGATAGTAACGTGAAGAGAGGCAGAGGAAGACCGAAGTTGACTTGGGTAGAGGCAATAAAATGAGACTTGAAATGATGGAATATACCCAAAGACTTAGCCTTAGATAGGAGTGTTTGGAAAACGGCTATTCACGTGCCTGAACCTTGATTGCTTCTGCTGGGTTTTAACTCTAGCCTACCCCAACTTGTTTGGGACTTAAAGGCTTTGTTGTTGTTGTTGTTGTTGTTGTTGTTGTTGTAATTTGTATAGATGAACTCTCTATTGCTCCATTCAATATAAAACAATTTTGATTTTTCTTGAGAAAATATACACCAGTTTTTGTACAACAGCAACATAGAATTAGAATTGGTTTGTCGTTTTTCATTGTTCCAGCTATTCACTCGTATATAGCTCACATATTGTTGATCTTTCTCCAGATACTTTTCAGGAGGTAAAGAGCAAGCGTGATAAGAAAAAGGAGGTCAGTCGAGTATGATCTTTATTTCAATCTGCCAATGCTAGCTAACTTGTTTTTTGTAACATTTGAGAATTCGTTTTATTCAGTTTTGCCTGATAGCTCTAGTCAACTGTTCTCATAAAAAGAGGTTGTAGCTTATCTTCAGTTACCCATATTATTTTTTTTGTTGGATATATAGAATCAATAATGATTGTTTAATATACATATACCATGTGTTTAATATCAAGGCTGGTGATTAACTCTGTGCTAATCTTGTGTTTAGTAACTCTTGATTAGCTTTATTGTGTCTTGCTTTAATCTTGAGAACTTACATCAGTATTTACTGAAATTTCGCATAGGTTAAAGAAACCCCAGAGCCAAGATCTCGAGGAACTAGTAACTCCAGTCGATCCAGTAGAGGTGGTGGGGACCGTGCTGGACGAAGCAGTTCAGTTCAGTCTGGATCCAGTGGCACTGGTATTTTTTTTTTTAATAAGGAAGTTACACTCCATGAGTTTTGGCATTTGGCCACTCAGTTTCTCATCTTCCCTTTTCAACCAAACCAGATTATATGGCTTCAAGGTCATCAATATTGGGACCTGCTGTGCCAGCTACGAATGCCATGCAGAAGCCAACAGTTCCTAGGTAACGAATGTGAGCTGGAAGTTCTGATATATCTGATTGTTTTGTATGTACTAGAGATAACCTCTATGCTTGCTATTCTGTTGCAGTTTGTCCACAAACAAAGATGTGGTTCCTAATGGATCAGTTGGAGCACCACAATCATCATCTGGTTTTCAGCACAATTGGTTTGGGGTGCCAGGTCAGATGTCAATGGCTGATATAGTGAAAATGGGAAGGCCTCAAGTGAAGTCTTCTGGCAAGCCTATGGTTGCAGCAGACACATCATATGCTGGTCAAACCCCATCTTTATCTAGCTCTGTAAACCAGAACTCGAAACAATCTGCAAGCACAGCCCTACCAACTAATTTTGACCAGGGCTTTCCTGCTCTCCCAGACCCTATTCCACATACTGTGAACTCTAGTCATGGTTCTGCTGGGAACAACCATACACATGAG